AACATGGGGTATGTTTGAGTTAAGTTTGTCGACTGCTTTAAATGACATGAAGTTACAATACACCAGTGCTCAAATGTCAATAAATAAATGCAAAGGTTATATTTATAAATAATTTATAAATATTAGATGATATTTATAACTAATTTATAAATATTTATAAATAATTAAACGACAGTCGAAAATAATACTTTATTTACAAAATAGTACTCAGTTAATTAGCAAATAATATTTATAAATATTTTTAATGTAATTGAAACGAGGACCTTCGGAATGCGAAGTCAGTTATGGTACTATACTACTAAGAGCGTTGACTAGTTTAATACATGTTTTATTATCAGGAGCGACCACGTGACACATCAGATGGGCCGTATGCTTAATTACCGCTATTATAATACAATAAACATAATTTAGAGATGAAACGAATAGCAATTTAGCCGGATAACGGTTACCGGATATTCGGCCAACCATGTGACCGAGTAGCCGAACATCCGGCCGCCGGATATCCGGCGGAACTTAGCTAATTAATAAATTCATTTTCTTTCTATAATAGTCGTTTACTATTGAGTGTAACTAATTTTATTCCTTAAGTAATACTAAGACTAACTAAATAAAGCAAATTATTACTTAAAACAATATTTTTTTTTAAATCGACCTCGATACCTATCCGGCCGAATAGTAGTTATCCGGATTTCAGCTGGATAGTATTAAGGCTGCCGGATAGTTACCGGATATCCGTTTCATCTCTAAAATATATATTATAAGTGTATATATAGTATGAAGACGAATTTTTTTAGTTTTAGTTAATATTTTTTTAAATGTACTTATATAAAACATTTTTTATATATTTCGGCAATGTACTTATATAAAACATATACGTACAATTGGGTAAAATTTTAAATACTTGATACCAATATTAATATATGCTATACAGATTTAGAGAATTGCGGTTTAGTGGTTTACTACTACGACTTAAACCCCGAAGGTCATGAATTCAAAACTGTCCGAAAGCAAAAGTCATTTGTTGACAATGTATATTTCTTAATGACTCTCTGATGATAGAAACTTCTAGAAGAAACCACAATGTGGTTCTAAACCCAACTACATGTAAGCATGTCAAGTATAGCAGTTACTATGATGTAGACAATTGACAATATCTCTGTATACCCTATTTGGGTTAACAAGTTCAATAATAATACTCGAGCTGTACATTACATTATATAACTCTTGACCAACAAAAAAAAAATTGTTTGTTCCCTCGATTTTTTCTCCATTTCGAATTAACGCGCATTCTTTGAATATATAATTTTTTACAACAATTTTTCTCTCACAGCTTTTGTTTTTGAGCTACAGTTAACTTCCCTCATTTACTATGTTCAACATAGATTTGCGTTTTTTATTGTACACTGAAATATATTTCAAATTCAAATTCAAAATATCTTTACTCATGTAGTTCTATTACAGACTCTTATGATATTTCAAATCTACCGTCAGTTCGGAATGATTTCTAGATGAGAAGAACTGACAAGAAACTGAGCTCGTATTCTTTTCAAATAAATGATTATATTAAGTTTATTTGAATAAGGATTATTTCAATTTCTATTTCTATAAAAAAAATAAGCTATTAGCAATCTCCCAGTATGTTCTTCATACAGCCATAAAAATACTCAAAAACAGAAGAAAAGTTAAGAAAACAAAACACTGTATTGACCAGTGTAATCACACTCTATAAATTATTACGTATTAGAGACAAAAATAAATTTACAACAATTTATTTACATTTCATACTTATTTTTATAAATAAACATATTTATTATTTATTGTACAAATATACAATAAAAATTATATATTTTTTAATTTACATTAAACAATTAAATTTAATATATTCAATAACAATATGACTTAGACATTCCCTGTATTCAAAAAAGCTGAAAATGACCTCATTTAAATTATACAAAACAATATACTGTATATATGTAATAATATATATTATATTATTAAAATTAAAATTAAATTTACTTTAAAATTAAATAAATTCATTCGCTCGTATAATTTTTTTATCTATAAACTATATATTTATACACACTATAATACACTAACGACCAGTCCCGGCTTCGCACGGCATACATATATTAGAATTTCTCGGTTTGTTCAATACTATAATACGCATGTATTGTACATATAAACCTTCTTGAATCACTATTACTGAGAAATACATTAAAAATCGTTGCGTAAATTTAAATATATATGCCAAAAGACAGCGCCGGCGACTTTTTTTATACTATGTAACTAGTTACTCGCCCCGGCTTCGCACGGGTGTACATGCAAACATTCCTCTTAAATCACTATATCTATTGCTGAAAACTGTATTAAAATTCGTTGTGTAATGTAGAAGATATAGGCGAACAGATAGCGACGGTGACTTTTTTTATACTACATATGTAAAGATTAACTATTATAACTTAGGTCGGATTACACCAATCCTAGTATAAACAGGTTCAAGGAAACGGAGTTCAGCGTGAACTCGAAAAAAAGGACGACGTTGATCTCGTTTTATTTTAAATGGAATTCACCAGCGTTATACAGATCGCGTTTACCAAAATGAAGTTTAGATTTTCATTCGTTCAGTGTTACACGCTCATAAAATTATATTTGATGCAATGGGTAATTTAAATAAAATAATTCTAAGAAATATTTGTAATTCAATCATGTAATAATTAGGATAAGTTTTTTAATTTTTAATTTAATAAGTACAGTCGACTACAAAATATAAAACAACAACCTTCACTTACAAACTAGTAGAACATTATTTTATTGAAGATTTGTTTACACTACTGGTAATTAACTTTTTGATCTTGATATTATATTGTCAAAAATTTGACAGTCATCAATGTTTGACAACTGACAGCTGCTTTAAATACGTTTAAAGAATTAAGTGTAGGAAATCAGACGTTCATAATTTATAAACGTGTTTAGCGAAATTTGTAGTGGTGAAATGCAAAATGAAGCTTTGAACACGTTTAAACGTTTTAATAGCGTTCAGTTCGAACTAAACGCGATCAGTTTCTTTAGTGAAATCCGACCATAGAAATGATGTCATAAAAATTTGATAAAATATTTAAAGTTTTATTACATAATTTAAACATTAAAATTATGTAATAAAACTTTAAATTTATTATTATTCTTAAAATATTAATCATATATTACAATGACTAGATATTTATTTTATTTTTTTCCATATAGCGTTATTTTTACTTTATTTATTTAATGCTAGTATAAATATATGTACAGTAAATACAACAATATTATTTACATACAAAACATATGGAATTATTATTATTATTTATACAAAAGCAATGCACGCGTTATACAGTGAAGATTTAAAAATAAATTATACTAAAGATTCACTTATTTATATTATCAACTAAATAAGGAATTAAAAATTATACTATTTATAATTATTCTAATTGAAAAACAGATTAAATTAAATTCATGTACATGTAATAATGTATTATTTATTTTTATATAAAATACCAGTGCTTGTAATAATATTAATATTTTTTTTAATTTATTTAACTTAATGCACAAAAAAAATGTGTAGGTACATATATCGGACTTAGCACTTTGCGACCATGAGTGGTGCAGAGAATGATTGAATTTAATTAATTTTGTTTAAAGTTTTATAAAAGGTTTTTTTATACTTTATTAAATATAAGTACATATGACGCGCAGACCTGATATCTGTCAGGGTCTAATTATATATAGAATGAATACATTAGAGGAAGTATGAAAGTGGCACCGGTGTCAGAGAGGTTGAAGAGTAATCGTCTACCGTGGTCTGGACATGTAATGCGTAGGAATGAGGATAATATTTTAAGAGAGGTGTTACATATGAATGTGGATGGTTATAAGGACAGAGGAAGGCCGAAAAAGAGATGGATGGACTGTGTGAAAGATGATATGGTAAGAAAGGAAGTAAAAAACACGATGACTGCGAACAGGGATGAATGGAAGCGAAAAACATATTACGCCGATCACAAATAAATGGGATAAGGAAGAAGCAGATGATGATGATGAGGATGATGATAACTATGGTCATTACTAAATAATTTCTAGCATTACAGAAAAATACATAGAGGCTTAAAGTCTTAGTCAATAGATTCACTTGCAGGTACTTATCGAAATAGCCTGTCAATGTTTTCCCAACCTAACACCGTTTTTTCATTTTTTTGTTAGATACATCGCTGAAATAATTTTTGGCCTCATTAGAAGGGCAAAGTGATGGATGGACTGTGTGAAAGATGACATGGTAAGAAAGGGAGTAAATAACGAGATGACTGCGAACAGATATGAATGGAAGAGAAAAAACATATTACGACGACCACGAATAAATGGGATAAGGAAGAAGAAGAAGCAGATGATGACGTGAGGAGGAAGAGTTTTATCCCTAGGATTTATGACTCTTAGGCTATGATTATAATTAGTAAATAACGGGATCCTACCATGTTTTATTTTTATTGAGTTCCTGATATTTCGGCAGTGTTTCAACCACCACGATCATGGCGTTTGAAACACTGAATACTGGAAGACATGAGTTGAAACACTAAATGATCACGTTTGATCATGAATCTGAGTTTATCTGTGATCATGGCGTTTGAAACACTGAATACTGAGTTTATCTGTGATCATGGCGGTTGAAACACTGAAAACTGAGTTTATCTGTGATCATGGCGTTTGAAACACTGAATACTGAGTTTATCTGTGATCATGGCGGTTGAAACACTGAATACTGAGTTTACCTGTGATCATGGCGGATGAAACACTGAAAACTGAGTTTATCTGTGATTATGGCGGTTGAAACACTGTCGAATTATCGGGAACTCAATAAAACGTAGTAAGATCCCGTGATTTACTTACTATACCTATAAATAATGACCGCGTCAAACTTAAAACTCTTAGGCTATGGTCTATGAGCTCCTCCAGCATTTGCCAAAATATATCTTTTACAAGAACTGAGGAGTCATCGTATGCCGATCTTTCCAGCTGTTCTCCCGTACGGAGTTCCTCTGGACTCTGCCGTACTGGATGCTTGGTGCACACGTGGTCCTGCCGAGCTGGTTATTGCTGCTCCTAAACGTCACTGTTGTACACGTCCTCATACTAGACATGTTGGATTTTTGACGTAAACCTTGCATCTGGAAACAAGTTGGCATTAAAAGTGCATTAAAAGATTTACCACCATCAACCGGGAGATATTGTGCAAAGTTATTTCTGTGACCTCTGTTTTTAGTTCCACTGCCAAGCAGCTTGCTTTAAATGTTCAGATTTGAAGAAGGAGATATGACACTAAAATTACAATGCATAAGGTATTGGTCCTTAGGAATATCGATGAATGAGTCAGTCAGAGAGAGAGAGAGAGAGGGAAAGAGTAGAGTAAGAACTCAAAAACCTAAAAAATAATTTAAGGTACTAATAATAATAATTCCGGAAAATTTACACAACGTTACTTACTTTCAAGTTAAGTAGAGCTTGTGTTAGAGGTACTAGATAGCTGATGTTTAAACATATTTTTTAAATATGTACATAATATACATAAAAAACACCCAGACCACTAAAAACAATAATAATTATGGCTATAAATGTTCGCATCGTGCGAGGAATCGAACCTGCTCGTAAGGCGGTATGCTATACCACTAGATCACCGAAGCCGTCACTTACGTGTTAGATACTTAAAAGTTATTGTCGGTATTAGCAAATTCAAATTAAGCAAAATCATATCGTTATCACACAATGTAATAGATTAAAATTGTTAAAATGTATGTTTGAATATAGGTACAGACATGATGACGATGTAACAGTACTTTCTTTTATTACTTTTAAAAACTCTACGAAAATTCACAATATTTACAAATAACTATGTTACAACTAATAAAGAGAGCAATTTTCTTTCCACCAAGCTCAAGGAATTGAATGGAATATAACGTCTGGCAGTTCAGATTTAATATAACAGATTGTATCATTAAGACGAAGGCTGTTATTAAAAAAAAAAAGCATACGAATCTACGGGAACCGTTAGTATAATACAAAATTTCAATAAAGTACAAGTGAGTATATTATACATTATTAATAGCTGAATTTGCATTTCGAACTATATAACCTCATAAAAAAATTACTATTCAAAAGTACTTAAATAAAATATAATATTTGAATAAAGAATACATCTATTCCATTTTTAATTTAAATAAAAAGGAAGTTACATGACTAGAAATACAAACTCATTTCTAAGAATAATTGCCGTCGCTTTAAATTTAAATATCGAACTCTATTATAAATAGGTATCTTTTTAAACGACGTGGGCAAACAAGCTGACATAGTATATATATGATAAAGAAAACATCTATTCCATTTTTAATTTAAACAAAAATAAATTGACTTCAAAAATAAAAACACAGTTGGAAAAAGAATTGCCCATCGCTTTAATAATTCTCCTTAAATTCAAATATCGAATTCTATTATATTTTTTTAAACTACGACGTTGGCAAACAATCCAAAGTCGTATATATAATAAATAATATTCCATTTTTAAATTAAATCAATAAATAGAAAACATATCTACAAAAATACAAACTCAGTCGGAAGAAAATTGCCCACCACTTTAATAATTCTCTTCAAATTTAAATATCGAATTCTATTATATTTTTTTACATGACGACGTTAGCAAAGAAGCCAACGGCATGAATAAAATAAAAAATATTCCATTTTTAAATTAAATAAATATATATAATACATGACTACTGAAATACAAACTCAATCGGAAGAAAAATTGCCCACCACTTTAATAATTCTCTTCAAATTTAAATATCGAATTCTATTATATTTTTTTTTATATGACGACGTTGGCAAACAAGCCACAGAGTATATATATTTTTTAAGAAAAAGTATTGCAACATCGTCGGCTGCGTGTACATGTGTGAACTTACATGGAAGTGAGTACTAGAGTGTATGTTACCGGTGTCGTGGCAGATCAGCTTGCGTAATGACCGCCGGAAGTTGCGTGTCATCAGGCAGTACACTATAGGATTGATCGCTGAGTTCGCGTGCCCTGGAATACAGTAAAACAGACAATATACCCACTTCATTTATCTATACATATAAATAAAATTGGAGTATCTGTTTGGAATATTGAAATAACCGTTTTTTACTGTATGCATATGAATATAAATACGGTACATATACCAAAATAACATTTTTTACTATTTTTGTCTGCTCTGTTTGGTTTGGTTAATCTCTGAAATGGCTGGATAGATTTTGATGGGACATTTTTGGCAGGTAGCTGATGTAATAAGGAGTAACTTAGGCTACTTTTATTTTAGATATATAAAGTTAAATTCCACGCGGACGAATTCGCGGGAACAGCTAGTTTATAATAATAATATTCTCATAATCTCATAATCTCAGGACAATTCACTCAGCGCCATCTAGACCCAAGTTAAGCTAGTTAAAAGTTTGTGTTATGGGTACTAGACAACTGAGACAAATACATAGATATTTTTTTTTTCGTAAATACATACATATTATACATAGAAAACACCCAGACCGACACAAACAATTATACTCATGAATACAAATGTTTGTGCCGTGCGAGGAATCGAACCCGCGACCATCGGACGTAAAGTGGTGTGCTAAACCACTAGACCACCGAGGTCTGACCTTAACCTGACAAACTATACATTAAGTAATATATCTCAGGACAATCAGCGAATGATTTCAGCGTCATCTAGTCCCACTGACTTTGCGGCGAGATATTGTATCTCTGTGTATTTTCTACCGCATATATCACTGTGTTCTGAGATACTGTTATGATTAATACCAGCTATTGGGAGGAAGGGAATTGTGGATTAATGTGGATTGATAACCCCATTGCTAGCAATGTACCATGTCAGGTCGACCTCCACGCAGTTTCCCCTGGAAACCATCGTGATAAATTCCCAGTGAATTCATCACGATAGACTAACTGACCTGACCTCATGCTCATCTCATCATCCTCCACTGGTGCCCCGCCAGCGTAAACCGTTAGCGCAGGCGAGTGCACCATTCCATTATCATCCACAAAAAAAAACTACCAGCTATTGAATTTCACTATCACACCCGCCAGAAACTAAAATACCATCCTGATCAACAGAATGGAAGGCGGTCCTCCGTCATGCGTGTTATAGAAACTTTCTACAATGCATTACCACATTATGGAATCACATTTCAGCAATGGTATTTCTGACCCTATGCGATATTAATACCTTCAAGAAACGTACTTATTTACTTTACTTTTAAAAATCCGTCAATACGCTTGAAATGATGTATTAGAGACAAAATTAGCCTAGTTTAGACACCACTACACTGAACTTTGTGTTAAATAGTTTTTAATACCCACTTGCATTATATATGGAAATAGATACAGAAACTTAGTTAAGTCTATTTTATAACAGTTTTATTACAATAATTTAATTTAATAATTATTAATTACCATGCTGTTGCGAATGTTATTCGAATTAAAATAAAATAATAATAATAATTACAGTCAGAATATTAAATACACAATCAACTAAATTAGATTAAAACTTAGTGATTACAGCAGATCGTTGCTGAGTAGAAATTCTTGTTTAAAAATATACATAAAACCTTTCAATTATAGCCGTGTGAAGCCGAGGCGTTTTCCTAGTATCAATTGTAGAATTTTGTGAGAAAATATCAAAGATTTATAGGTATAGATGTATACTGTAAATTTTACCCGAATTTTCCAATATACCTGTGTTTAAATAGAATAGAAAATATTATGTATACATTTATTTAAATAAAGACTGTAATTTACGCAATAAAAATAAGCTAATTTTACCTAAATGCCGTCTACACAAAGTAGTAATTCATTTTATGGTAATTGCGTAAGATAAACTGCCAGAGTCTACGCTAAATCTTACAGAGAGGCAATTCAAATCTTATCAAATGTTATGTAAAAAAGCCTAATAAGATTTATAGATGATAGCAATATATAGCAAGAATAAGTTTATTTGCGGACAACGTTATAATTTTAATTTTCATACTGCTTTCTTGATATATGATAGCGTAGCGGCTTTTGTATTGATTGCCGCATGCATCCTTATGTAAAGTGCGAATACTGTAACTACCATATAGTAAATCGTCGTGTGGAATGAGTAGTCATGCTCACTAAAATGTCCAGACATGTGGCGGCGTGGTGGGCCGGGTCAATGGGCTCCCTAAAATATGGTCGAGCGCAGTGATGGCTGGCTCATCCGTCATACTCGTGAACGAGTGCTACTTGTAGGGACTGGTCTGTTCTTATCACTACGACTGATTTAATCTTATTGCATATTTATATTTGACCCAAAAATTAGTGCTTGTTGGTAGTTTGTATTCACACGTTTCGACTTGTAAATGTAAACTTACAAGGATTATTTAAAAGAGCAACACACAAGTTTCTTGCTCGTTCTTCTTGTGATGAGACATTGCTTAAATTAAGTTTATTTGAATAAATGATTTTCTATTCTATTCTATTCTATTCTATTCAACATTTTTTTAAATCTACCGCTTATTCGGAAAGCTGTCTCATCACAAGAAGAATAAGCAAGAAACTTGTGTGTTGCTCTTTTAAACAATCCTTGTAAGTTCACATTTTACAAGTCGAAACGTGTGAATACAAACTACCAACCAGCACTAATTTATTTAGGCTCAAATATAAAAACACAATAAGATTAAATCAGTCGTAGTGATAAGAGCAGACCAGTCCCTACAAGCAGCACCGTTCACGAGTATGACGGATGAGCCAGCCATCACTGCGCTCGACCTACATATATTTACCAAAGCTTTCCTATATATAAATTGTTTAATTTTAACAAAATGTAATATAAATGTTAATGGACATCGGTAATCAAATCCAAAATTCAAATCAAAAATCATTTATTCATGTAAAACATTTTAGCCGCTTATGAACGTCAAATTTTTTACATTATAATTTTAATTTTTTCCGTACCGTACAGTTACTGTCAGTTACCGTGAGTTTATCAACAAGTGAGCTGGCTCGTTTGCCTCCTGTGATGTAAAAAAAAAACTCACCAAGGAGTAATGTATATGGCAACACTGAAGACACAGATTCCACCTCCACAGCATTCACATCGATCAGCAGCTGCAGGATGTTGTATGGCAACCAGCACAGCGCGAAGAGGACAGCGAGCAGCAGAAGAATCCACGCTACTCGCTTCCTCTCGCGGACTAGTCGTAATCGCTAGAAAGAGATAACAATAATAATATATCAGTAACCCTATGGTATAGTTATAAATGTTAATAAAAGTCTACGATTCGCTTCTCAATATCAGATATGAAACAGTTCAGTGAGTGCAGTACGTTTTTGTTGTAATTATAACCCAGGACAATTTACAATTCATATCTAGTACCAAGCTAAGCTGTGCTTCTATTAGATTATATATTTATATATATACATATAATATATATATATATATATATATATAATATATATATATATATATATATATATATATATATATATATATTATATATATATATATATATATAATATATATATATATATATATATATATATATATTATGCAGTAATTGTCATATGAAAACAGCCGTTTCAAATTTAAAAACAATTTATTTATGTAGGACATTTTAGCCGCTTCATCATCATCATCATCATCATCATCTGCTTCTTCCTTATCCCATTTATTTGTGGTCGTCGTAATATGTTTTTCGCTTCCATTCATCTCTGTTCGCAGTCATCGCGTTATTTACTCCTTTTCTTACCATATCATCTTTCAGACAGTCCATCCATCTCTTTTTCGGCCTTCCTCTGCCCTTATAACCATCCACATTCATATGTAACACCTTTCTTAAAATATTATCCGTTTATGAACGTAAAATTTTTTAACCGTCAAAATTTCTGAGGATTTTCGTAACAAACACCGCGACATGAGAATCATCATCATCATTACATAGTATAAAACAAAGTCGCTGTCTGTCCTTATGTATGCTTAAATCTTTAAAACTACGCAACGGATCTTGAAGCTGTTTTTTTTAATAGACAGTGATTCAAGAAGAAGGTTTATATATATAATACATGTACACCCGTGCGAAGCCGGGGCGACTAGCTAGTTTACTATATAACAAACATTTATTTGGAGTTTTAAGTTAAGTGATTGATTTTATACTAAAAATATTAAATTATTGGGTATTCAACCATAAAGGTATAATTATGTAGCGACTTAACGCTCTTGAAGTGTAATAAATCAAGATTTCCACACACGAAGCGTTGAAATAAAGTTCGTATAAACAATCAAACTCATGAATATAAATATTTATACAGCAAGGAATCGAACCCCCGACGATCAGTTTTAGGTTAAGCGATTGATTTTATACTAAAAATATTAAATTATTGGGTATTCAACCATAAAGGTATAATTATGTACCGACTTAACACTCTTAAAGTGTAATAAATCAAGATTTCCACACACGAGGCGTTGAAATAAAGTTTGTATAAACAATCAAACTTATGAATATAAATATTTATACAGCAAGGAATCGAACCCACGACCGTCAGTTTTAGGTTAAGCGATTGATTTTATACTAAAAATATTAAATTATTGGGTGTTCAAGCATAAAAGTATAATTATGTACCGACTTAACGCTCTTAAAGTGTTATAAATCAAGATTTCCACACACGAGGCGTGTAAATAATTTCGTATGCTCATTATCAAATTATTAACGTATAGAGAATGTTTATATTTACCGAATTTTATCATGAAATTAAGATCATTATTTTATGTCTCAATATTAAATTAGAACAGACGTATTGCGTTGTTTCAAAGATATTTTCGAAGTATAACCATATATTACAAATCTATACGTATAAATAAAATTGGAGTGTCTGTTTGTAATATTGTAATAACAGTTTTTTACTACACGCATATGAATATAAATACGATATAATTCCAAAGTGATTTTTACGATATTCTGTAATATAGATGTAAAAATAGACGTATAAATAATATATAGATACGAATAAATCTATACATATAAATGAAATTGGAGTATCTGTTTGTAATATTAAAATAACCATTTTTTACTACATGAATATGAGTATAAATACGGTACGTACACCAAAATATTTTTTTTTACAATTTTTGTCTGTCTGTCTGTCTATCTGTTTGTTCCGGCTAATCTCTGGAATGGAATCTCCGATTTTGACGATACTTTTTTTGGCAGATACTTTGTTTTATTACCACCGTCATAAAGGTTTTATCATATTGTCTGTGACTTAAGTGAAGTAACATTCTTTTACATCTCGCTAAGAAATATTATTGTAAAAATGGAAATATACGTTCTATTCAAGATAATATACTTTATTTATATCAATAAATACAAAACCTAACATTTTAATTATTTATGACATTTTCATTAAATTAATATTTGCACATTTTGACCCACTCAACACTTCCTATGCCACGCTCTATTGGGTTGACTGGAAGAGATCTCTTTTAGAGATAAGTCCTCCTTTGTTAACATTAGTTGTAATTAATATACTTACAAATGTATATTAAGTGCAATAAAGAATATTTAATTAAACAAAATAATACAATTTATTAAGTAGAGTAACAAATATCAATTCATCTAAGTTATGGTTTATAACATTAAGAAATTCAAATTCAAAAATCATTTATTCATGTAGGACATTTTAGCCGCTTATGAACGTTAAATTTTTACATTCTAATTTTATTTTTTTCCCTACCGTCCAGTTCGGTATATAGATCCAATTGAGAAGAACTGGCAAGAAACTCAATTGAATTACTTTTTTTTTAAAGCCAGTTTATTTACAATGTATATTTATATAGGTGTCTATGTCTAACATTAAATGAAAATTCAGTGCATGAACAACTATTGCCATGCACACTCGTCATTCAAGTAATCGTTTAGTGAATAATAGGCTTTGCTCAGTAAATATGATTTAGCAGATGTTTTGAATTTATTTAAAGGTAATTCCAACATATCCTTTGGTATCTTATTGTAAAATTTTATACCTATTCCCATAAAAGAACTATTGACTTTTTCTAAACGATACTTGGGGACAGCAAGTTTGTCTTTAAATCTAGTATTAACATTATGAATGTTGCTGTTTTTTGGAAATAAGTCAAGAAGATATTATAGCTTACCTGTTGACTGTTGACACTGCCTTCAGTTTGGTCGAAGGGAGGCAGTACAGAACAAAGCCGTCTGCCCATTAATGAGTACGAAACCACTACTATACAACCTGAAACGAGAAATTATTAAAATAAAAAAATAGAAATATAAAAAAAAAACAGGAAAATTCCAACTGTAAATAAGGAAAAAAACATCGATTTACAAAATTGTGGAGTAAAAAATATAATCCATCACATTTAAGACTAGCTGTACCAGCGACTTCGTCCGGGTGAAATATATGACGAAAAACGAATTTACATACAAAGTTTCATCCCCTATTCTAATTTACCCCTTAAGGGTATTAAAATAAAAAAATAGAAATATAAAAACAAACAGGAAAATTCGAACTGTAATTATTTACATCTTGATTCCTTAAGGAATATAATAAAAAAAAAACATCGATTTACAAAATTGTGGAGTAAAAAATATAATCCATCACATTTAAGACTAGCTGTACCGGCGACTTCGTCCGGGTGAAATATATGACGAAAAACGAATTTACATACAAAGTTTCATCCCCTATTCCAATTTACCCCTTAAGGGTATTAAAATAAAAAAATAGAAATATAAAAACAAACAGGTAAATTCGAACTGTAATTATTTACATCTTGATTCCTTATGGAATCAAGATTGACGAAATATTAAAAAAAAACATCGATTTACAAAATTGTGGAGTAAAAAATATAATCCATCACATTTAAGACTAGCTGTACCAGCGACTTCGGCCGCGTGAACGACGAATGACGAATTTCCACACAAACTTTCATCCCCTATTCCAATTTACCCCTTAAGGGTAAAATTTTTACAAACTTTGAATGTCATATTTATTTAATTTTATCAACAGTCGTAAAAAGTTAGCGCAGGCGGATGTACCAATACATTGTCATATATTAAAATATATAAAATTCTTGTGTGTGACACATTTACCGAAACGGCTTGACCGATTTTGATGAAATTTTATATGTATATGGGCATGTTATGCGGAGGAATGAGGACCATGTCTTATGGAAAGTGTATAATATGAATGTGGATGGATGTAAAGGGAGGCGACGCCCTTAGAAAAGATGGATGGATTGTGTGAAAGATGATATGAATAAAAGAAGGGTATGTTTAGATATGACGACCGATAGAGAGCAGTAGAAGAGAATGACATACTGCGCCGACCCCAAATAATGGGATAAAGGCAAGGCAATGATGATTCAGTAGATCTGAGAATAGGTTTATAACTAATTTTTATACCCCTGAGTGTTAAGGGTAGCTCACCCCAAAGAAAATAATTTTATTTTTTCGACATAATATTTATTTTTATTTTTTTATAATGTGGCATTAAAAAATACATACAGCTTTAAATTTTCACCCTTTGTTTAAGATAGTTCCAAATGTATTATATTAGTTCACCCGTTCTATCACCAAACTATTTTTTACCACAGGTAAATGTAGATGGCGCTATTATATATATATAATTTTTGTTGTTTAATATATGATATTAAACGTATATTTTTTTAATAATCAAAAAGAAAAAAAGAAAACTAAAAACTAATAATCCCATCATCCCTATTGAATGGTAGCCGCAGCGTATTCAATTTTCAGTGGACCCTCAAAAATAGTTGCTTTTTATAATAAATTACGGTACCTATATTTCACCCTTCTAATAAAGTGAAGAGTTTGTTTGTTTGAACGCGCTAATCTCAGAAACTAGTAGAAAAGGTTGCAGAAATGCATTTTTAAAAAATGTACAACTTTAAATATATATATATACTACTACTAGTATATATACTAGTATATATATATATATATATATATATATATATATATATATATACTAGCTGTCCCGGCAACGTTGTTTTGCCTTAAAATAAAATAAAAATTGATGTGGACTACCCCTAACATTTAGGGGGATGAAAAATAAATGCAGGCCGATTCTCAAATGAAACTCAGTCGAAATTGCGCGGGTCATCGAAAACTAGACACTTTTTATATATATATAATACATGTATGTATATATATATATTAAGAACATATTACGAGAGAGATAAATTAGAATTATATATATTTAGTTTCTGGGGACTGTAATAGAATTATTCTTATATGCCCGCCTATAATAAACATAATATATAAATAAAACATTGTAAGAAACATTTTTTATTCTATGCAATTGAAATTAGAAAGAGATAGTTTTTCTTCTATTCTTGGCTACTTCTTTGTATCTTCTTTCATGACTGACCTTAAATTTTACTTGTTACTAGCTGTTCCCGCAACATCGTCCGCGTGGAATTAAACTTTATTTTTCTAAAATAAAAGTAACCTAAGTTACTCCTTAGTACATCAGCTACCTGCCAAAAAGTCCCATCAAAATCGGCCCAGCCATTTCAGAGATTAGCCGGAACAAACAGACAGACAGAAAAATTATAAAAAATGATATTTTGGTTTATGTACCGTATTTACATTTATATGCATGTAGTAGGAAACGGTTATTTCAATATTACAAACAGACACTCCAATTTTATTTATATGTATAGATTTGTAACAAAATTTCGATTACGTTATCAATATACATCGAAATTTAGTCAATATAGGCACAGATAACATAATATTACAGTGAAGGTAATACGAGTATAATACCCTCGTGAGTTATTAATGTACGCCAGGTAAGAGGTAATAATTTTGATTAACTGAATTTGCCATCTCAATACATAAACCTAATCAATATTCAAAGGAAAGGATTAAATTTGATTACCTACTTACATGCTTCAATGAACGCTATAATAAAATCTCTTATTAATCTGAACGTAGCAGTTTTATCAATAAGGAAAATGTTGGCTATTTTCTTACGCAACTGGAATAGTAAGCCAATTATAATCAGAATAAAAATAAGAATAATAAAAGAATAGAATAGAAAATCATTTATTCAAATAAACTTACATTGAAGCACTTTTGAATAGTCATCACATTTTTTTTAATCTACCGCTCATTCGGAAAGCTGTCTCATCACAAGAAGAACGAGCAAGAAACTTGCGTGTTGCTCTTTTAAATAATTTTATTCTTACTTAATAATTTAAGTTTAAGTGTGTGAATACAAACCACCAATTAGCACTAATTTAATTAAATACTCAAATAGAAAAAATATTGCATACATAACCAACTGGTTAAACAATTAATACGAGGAAATCAGACATAGTGATTAGAGCAGACCAGTCCCTACAAGCAGCACCCGTTCACGAGTATGACGTATGAGCCAGCCATCACTGCGCTAGACCATATTTTAGGGAGCCCAATGACCCGGCCCACCACGCCGCCGCCACAAGTCTGGACATTTTAGTGAGCATGACTACTCAAAACACCAGACCACGTAAAAGCTACTTACAATTGTTATCTGATAGTTATAGTATTCACATTTTATATAAGAATGCATGCGGCAATCAATACAAAAACCGCTACGCTTTCATATTTCTAAAATAATTAAATAAAGAAAGCAATGAGAAAATTAAATTATAACGTTGTATGCTAATAAACTAATTATTTACTTGATATGTTGTCATCTATGAATTCGTCTATCCTGTAATACGCTTTCTTACATAAAAAATATTTAATATAAGATTTGAATTGCCTCTCTGTCAGATTTAATGCAGATTCTGGCAGTTTATTATAAAATCTTACGCAATTACCATAGAATAAATTACTGACTTTGTGCAGACGGCATTTAGGTAAAATTAGCTTATTTATATTGCGTAAATTTCTACTTGTACAGTCTTTGAGTTTTTTAAAACTCTCTAAGTTCTTCCGTATATACATGATATTTTCATAAATGTATTGTGAAGTACATATGAATATAAATACGGTATATACACCAAAAAAAAAACACATTTTACAATTTTAATCTGTCTGCCTGTCGGTCTGTTTGTTCTCGCTAATCTCTGAAACGGCTGGACCGATTTTAACGAGACTCTTTTTGGCAGGTAGTTGATGTAATAAGAAGGAACTTAGGCTACGTTTATTTTGAAAAAATCTTTTATTTTAGAAAAATTAAGTTAAATTCCACGCGGACGAAGTCGCGGGAACGGCTAGTTTTACATAAAAAACACCCAGACAGACTCATGTTTGTACACATGAGTATGATTGTATGAACCCACGACCATTGGAAGTGAGGCGGTGTGCTAAACCTCTAGACCACTGTGGCCGTCATTATATAATTCAATTCAAGTAATCGTAGACATTACATGAAACAGTTGGTCGTTTTGAAGGAATGTCGCTTCAAATTGCAGATAAGCAAGGCGAAAATACATAAAATGAAAACATAACGATAAATGGAATGGCGGAAGGGACATTATACCTTGCTACTAAACATTTAGAGTACATTATAGAGATATCAAAAAGTAGTCTAACATGCAATAAATATTGTGCTCATTAACCTAGAAGGCAGAGTGGTATTATATACAGTTTTAAGTTTGACGCGATTTTTATTTATAAATATAATTAGTAAATCACGGGATCTTACAACGTTTTATTTTTGTTGAGTTCCCCATATTTCGGCAGTGTTTCAACCGCCATGATCACGGGTAAACTGAAGAGCAGCGGGTAGATGGTAAACAAATCTTTTATGGGCAGACATATTCGTCTACCATCACACGTCTTCGTTTGTTGCTTTTGGTAGTATTACTATTACATATTTGTATGATTCACTCATCCGTCATACTCGTGAATGAGTGCTTGGTTTTAGTGACTGGTCTGCCCAAATAACTACGATTGATTTAATCTTATTTAGTTACTCAGCTTGATTGTGTAATTAATTTTTGACTCTATTGTATTAGTGCTAGTTGGTAGTTTGTATTCACACATTTCAACATAAAAATGTAAAGTTACAATGATTATTTAAAAGAGCAACACTCAAGTTTCTTACTCGTTCTTTTTGTGATGAGACAGCTTTCCGAATGAGCCATAGATTAAAAATAAAGTATGACTATTCAAAAGTGCTTAAATTTATGTTTATTGAAATAAAGAACTTTCTATTGTATTTAAAAGAGCAACACTCAAGTTTCTATCTTGTTCTTCTTGTGATGTGACATCTTCCGA